AGCACTGTCCAAAGTGCACAGCAGTGAGCTGCTCCTCATCCATACCTGGGACAGGAGGAAACCTGGGAAGGGGTGAAGTACCAGAGCACTGTGATGCAAAATACAGGAGGAAACAACTCTGAGGAGAACCCAGGCTGAGAGAAAGGAAAGTGGAGATCCTTTATTGCAGGAGGAGGGTGGTGTCAGCAGGGCACAGAGATCTCTTGAGCTCCAACCAACACACAAATGGCCTGTGGCTTCTGGGTGGGACTTTGAGGGGCCCAGGTTGGTTCCAGGCTCCCAGTGAGGACCACAAGAATCAGTGTTTGGCTGCTGCTGGGCCACTCCAGGGAGGAGAACAGAGAAGGATGATACAGAGCCAGAGCACAGTGGAGATGGAGCAGGAGAAGGTGGTGACAGAGCTTGTTGCACCCCCCCTGCCATGGTCCCAGCATCCTTCATCCTTATGGTCACCTGCTGCCTTGGGGGAACCTAAATGGACACCCCAGAGCTGAGCTCACCCAGGCCACAAGAAGTTGGGAGTGAGGGACTGAATTTGACAGCCTGGATGTTTCTCCACTTGAGAAGCTTTGAAAGGGAATGTATTTTTGGAGCATTAAAGATCAACTGTTTGACTCTGGCCAATCCTTTTCAAGAGCAGCACCAAAGGAGGTCAGTGGGATGTGTTTGGTCAAATATTTTGTACATGACCATCATCTCTCACCCCCTCAAGTATTTACAGACCTGAGAGCATTTCCTGCTGTTCCCCCCTGTTGAGTATCTGGTGTCTCTGCTCCAGCAGGACGGTCCTGTGTGTCTCAGTGCACGGTGAAGCCATGAAGGACCACCCCAGCGCTGCCCTTGGGTGCAGAAAACAAAACTAAATCAGCACAACGTGTTTAGTCCCACAAATGGCAGCAGGTTTACCCAGCCAGCAGTGAGACACAGCACAGGATAATGAGAACAAATCTGCGGGGGTGGTGGTGGTGGGGAGATGGGGTGGAAAGAGGGAGGTTTACTCTCCAGGGTTTTTTTGTAATCTTCACTCACCATATTTAGTAGGCTTGTGACTTGCCCTTGCTAGCTCATGGAGAATTCCCCCAAGTGTTTACTCCCACAACCTAGCAAATGCCTCAATACACATCATGGAAAAAATACAATCAACATCTTCACTCCCACTAGAGAAGGAATTCCGACTTGCCCGGCACAGACCGGGAGTATGAGCCTGTGAGAGAGACAAATGCTGCTTCATTAGCTCCCCTCAGATGTGGTTTACTCCTCAAGTGACCTGGTCAGGGCTGCACCACCTCCCTCCTTTCCTTCACCTAAGGAACCCCTGACCTTTGGTCAGGGCAGTGGGGACAGGAATGTGGGTCCTTTAACCCTTTCCTCTGACATCTGCCAGCTGCTCTCCATGCCGTGCACAAAGCTGATGGTCCTGGGATTTCCAGGGATTCAGAGATGCTGTGAAGGGCAGAAGAGGAGCTCTGCAAAATGGTTTTCTTCCTGCTATAACTAGGGAAGAGCAGGGTTTGGTGATGGAGAGCCAAGTCTACCTTGTACAGAACATGGAAACAAAATGGGGATCACTGAGAGCAGAGACCACAGATTGCCCAGGATTGCTTTGGACTTTGGAACATCTATTTCTACAATACTTTAGTAGAGGAAAAAACAGTAGTTAGGCCATTTAGATTTTGCCAACCTGTTCCCAAACTGCCTGCATGACAAGGACACCCAGGAAATCATTTCAGTTTATCAAATGTAGAATCTCCTACAACTGCAATGAACATAAACTAGAATAGAGCTGGAAAGAGGAGCTGAAATGAGAATGTTCAGTGCTTCTGATGATTTGGAATTTCTGGCCAGGAATTTCTTTGCCCATATTGGCAAATTTGGGGAATTTCTGCCCAGGGAAGTGGTGGAATCACCATCCCTGGAAGTGTTCAAAAATTTGCAGATGTGGCACTTGGGGACATAGTTTAGTGCTGGGTTTGGTAGAGCTGCTTTAGCATTTGGGCTTGATGATCTTGGAGGTCTTTTCCAACCTCACCAATCCCATGGGTTTTGCAAATGGGACATGGTATGAATGCAGCACCCAGCCAGCTCTCCTCTGCTGCTGTCTCCTGATCTGGTCCTACCATACCCCAGCACAGGAGGCAGTGGGAGGATGGTGCTGACTTATTTGCACTGGAGAGGTCTTGGAGATTGTGCAGGGAGCAATCACAGGGGTGATTGTGCAGGGAGCAATCACAGAGGTGAATTTCACTGCCTTTTCACTGAAAAGGCAGTGAAATTCAGCAGCACACAGGCCATGGTGCTTAATTTGCCCACTCAGGGGGGAGCACTGGCATGTGGTGGCATATGGCTGTGTTGGGGGTCCAAGTGCTTTGGCAGAGCAAAAGGAACATATCAGGGCAACCCCAAGCACTCTTGTGCTACAGGAATATGGTCTTTACCTGTTGTGCCAGTGGCTAAAACCCATCAGCAGTGTGATACCACCAGTCTCTGCCAGGGTAGAACTCTGTGGTATAGTGGGTACCAAGGGATGTGGACTCGGGCTAGAAACACGTGGTCTGTAACCTCTGGCATGATATTACACTCCTAATCACTCCTTTGCACGCCAAAAATCACAGGAACTACCCCAATTACTCCAATTTTTCCTCCAAGCTCTTATTTTTCCCATGCACATCCTTTCCTTTTTCATGAGGAGAAAACACCTCTCAGGGCATGCTGAGCTATTGCAGTATTTACCTAAAATACAATACAAACTTCTAATTGAAGGAGAGGGGGCTTGGCAAAAGAATATTAAAGCTTTTCAAGTCTCCTGAAATCCTTTGTGTGGAACAGCTTTGGGAAACGGGGCCTGCTGCCACCCTCCCCCTCTTGGGAACATTCCCCAGGGCAGTGCCCGGGCAGCAGCTGCTGCTGCTCCGGGGGAGTCAGCCCAGCCTGACACACAAACAAATACCACAGGAAGAAATGCTTTCTTCCAACAAAGACCTGGGGAAGAAACCCTGGGCAGGAGGAGAGGAGGGGAGAGTACATCCTGCACCTGAGGAGCTTTGGGGTAGCAGGGGAAGCTTGGCCTCAAACGGAGGAGTGAGGAAAGGCAGGAATGGTTACAGCCACAACCAGGTATGATGCAGATGTCATGCAAAACGAGGCATAATGGCATAAAGACAAAGCTCCGCTCTCAACAGCCCCTTGAACCTTCGTGTTTCACCTTAAAAAAAGCACTGACTCAAAGCACAGAAGGATTTGATACCTGCAGGTGTAGGGGGGGCAGATGCATGTGAAAACCAGTGCAAGCATTTAGGGTGGAAAAGGAATTTTGCTTGTTTAGCTCTGGTGCTCCTCACCCACAGGTGACAGAGGCTGGAAAACATGTTCTACACAGGATTGTGTGTGCAGAAAGAGCAGGTGGCAGCAGGAACCCCTGCCCAGCATCAATTCTGTGTTGCTCAAGTCTAAGAAATTATGTCCTTGGTCACATTAACAACTTCTGCAAAGTCTTCATTTGCATTTTAATGGAACTCTTTCTAGGAAGGTGGTGCTTGGTCTCTGTTGCAATATAAAATGAAGAGGTAATTAAAAACATGCTGGAGTGAAAAGGCATTTTGTTTTCATTAATCAGGTTTATTCAGAGTCTTTTTAAAATTAAAGGTATTTAGGGTATGTGGGAGGAAACGGGGGCAGGAAAACACACTATGGAACATCCGTTTATTTAAATTACAGATTTAAAAGTGGAAAGTACACTTTTTGTAAGGGAACGTCCTATGGATTAAGAGCACCTTATAGACATGGATTTGAATGAAGAGCAGGCATAAAAGTCAAATCTAAGATTTCGACAGCAGGTCTGCCTACTTGAAAGCCAGAGATGAAGGAAATACATAGGATGGGGGAAAGGAAACCACGGAGGAAATTTTTAAACCTTCGGCACGCGATTAGCCAGGCAATTACTGTGATTACACACCTAAGTCAGTTAACCGTGCAAACGGCCATCCCCGTTGGTCAGACAGGTATTTCCCCAATTTCGGGCGCAATCACAGCACGCAGATGTTGATTAAACAGTTTGCAAGCGTTTTATCTGCTGGACCAGCTCCTGCTTTCACAATCCAGGGACCGCACACAGCCCCGAGAGCGATCCCCGCTCGCCGCAGCCATCGTGCGACCGCGCCGATTCCCCCACGCTCCAGACCTATCCTGCCCTGTTAAGCTCCGTCCTTTGAAATATAGGGCAGTTTCTGTCAGATCCTTCAGCGCGACAGTCAAAAGGGCAAAGCCCTGCCCTTTGTTGCAGCGGGAGGTTTTCCATTGCGGAGCTGGCTCTGATCTCCATCGCTCTGATCTCCATCCGTCCCCGACCACCGGCCTCGCTCTCTGGCCATTACGGGTCAGGGGGCTCGAACTGCGCTTATTTTACATTATTTCGTTTCAGGGCATTGTGCGAAATACAGCTCAGTGTGTACAACAGGGGGAAAGTGATTTTTGTTTCTCTCTGAAAGGTCCGGACGAGGCTGCGGCGCTGCCCCGCTCCAGCACCCGCCGCCCTCCATCCCGCGGTAGGGCTTAAGGGACGCGGCACAGCCGCCCCTCCCGGAGCAAGGCGCACCTGCCGGGGACAGGGGACAGGAGACAGCCGGGGAGGCCCGGGGAGGTCCGGAGCAGGACCGGGGTTAGGATCGGGACCAGGACCGGCACCGGGAACGATCCCCAGCTCCCGCCGCCGCCGCCGCCGCCCCCGCCTCAGCGCAGCCCCCGCGCTGTCCCGGCGTGCCCCGCGCGCCGCGCGCCCCCGCCCTCCCTCACTTCCGGTGTCCGGCAGTGGCAGCGCCGCCGGCGGCGCCCCCGCTCCCCCGGCGCAAGGGGAGGGGGGCGTGCCGAGGGGGGCGTGGCGGACTGAGGGGCCACCGCCCAATCACCGCCCGCCGCTGGGGGAGAGTGGGCGGGGACAGCGCCGGCACGCGCCGCGCAGCCCCGCCCCCCCGCGGCCCCCCCCACCCGCCGCGGGCTCGCGCCCCGCGCGCCCGAGGGAGCGTCGGGAGCGCGCCCGGGCGCCCCCCCTTCCCCCCCCCTCCGCCGGGTTCTCCCCCCCCCCCTCCTCCGCCCTCCGCCCCCCCTTCCCCTTCCCCTCCCCACCCGGGAGGAGAGGCACGGAGTGACCGACGGAGCCACCGCTCCGGCCGCTCCGACACCCCGCTCTCCTCCATGGGGCACAGGTAAGCGCGCCGCCCCCCGCCCCCCGGGGCGAGCGGGGGTCGCCATGGCCGCCCCCCCACCCCTCGAGGGGCGGCGGGGAGCCCCCCCCGCCGCTCCCGCACCGCCGCCCCGGTGTTATCCCCGTTATTATCTCCCTTATTATGCCCGTTTTGATCCCTATGCCCGCTTTTATCCCCGTTTTTATCCCCGTTATTCCCCCCACTGGCCGCCCGCCGCGGGGGGAGCGCGGCCGGTCGCGCCCTGCCCGCCGAGGGGGGCACGGAGCCTTCTTTGGGACGCGATGTCCTATTTGGTGTGGGTGGATGGCTTAACTTGGTAAGTGCCGGGTTTAACCCCCCTCCCCCGGCCCTCCCCTCCCCTCGCTCCTCCGCCCGCCCCCCCCCTCCTCCCCGTAACCTCCAAAAGGGGAATTTTCCAGCTGGTAATTTCTGCTGCGTCAACACCCAGCTCAAGGGAGAGGAGAAGAGACAAGGGGGCATTTTAACAGCAGCTCCACTTGCGGATAGCCAGCCTCAATCCCGGCTCCAGCATTAAAACCCTTTCCGCCCCCTAAAAACCAGCATCCGTGCAAGTTGGACCAAGAGTTTGTCAGGAGTGTGGTTCAAAACTGCTTGGAAAAAGGGATGAGGTAATAATACTGGTGAAGCATGTTGTATTTCTCTCTTTCTGCGTGTCTCTCTTTCTCTTTCTCCCTCTCCTCTCTCCTCTTTTTTTTTTTTTTTTTTTTTTTTTTTTTTTTTTTAAAGCCAGGCCTGTTTTGGGTTATTGTCTCCCCCTAAAGCCAGACATAGATCGCCTGGCCTTGCCTCCATTTTAATTGCAGGCTGAAATGGGGGAAGTGACCCTCTTTTAAAAAAAGAAATACAAAAAACCCCAACAAGCAAACAAACAAAAAAAGCCTTGAAAGAATAATGCTGTTCCTTTGGGGGCGATATAGGTGATTTTTCATAAGGCTGTAACAAGTGCAAAAGTGGCTGGAAATGTTCTCTGTCATGCTGGGAAACTAGTGAGGTGTCCTCCCCCCTCCCCAGAAAGAAGTGCTGGTAGAATTTGGCGGAGGGGAGAAGGAGAGGTGCTGGGAGAAGCAGGGGTTGTGCTGCTGGATTGCCTTTGTGTCTCTGTAAATAGACATGTCAGTTCCCAAAGTAATACAAGTAGTGTCTGATAACTCAATCCCAGATGACAAATAGAGAATGGAGCAGATTTTCAGGACTGTAATAGTGGGAGGATTTCTCTTTTGAAACGGAGAGGAAAAAAAAAAAATGTTGGTACCTCCTGAGGAGGTTCTTCCCCGGCACGTTATTGTGGAGCGGAGCGTTCGGACGGAATCCGGAGACATAAACCCCTATTTATTTATTTTTACACCTGACCGGGGAAAGATAAACAAAGGAGAGTTTAACAGCTCTTTAATGAATTCCTCATGCTTTTTATTTTGCAATCCAAATGATTCATTTGGCAAGCCTTACAGAATGGGATTATTATCAGCATTGTTTAAAGCCATGCTAATTAGGAGATGTGTTTAGCAAACAGTGGCGTTGTAGACACCTGGACCAAAGTTCGTGCATGCATTTTAATTGCATCACTGGTATCATTTTTAGCATTTAGTTGCTGTCATTGAGATGTAGGTCTCAGTTTGTGGACTCAATCAAGTATTTATTGAGTGTGGGTTCCCTGTATGCACAGATCAGCCCTGCTACTAATGCATTAAATGTGTTTTCTCAAAAAAGACAGGGAGTATTTTTTCTCTTTTTATTTCCCTGTGGGGATTATAAGAAAAGGCAGTGATACCCAAGAATAGCGAGAAAAACATAATATTTGAAGAAGAAGCTTTCTGTGACTGGATAGCTCTTTTCACTTTAATCAATACCTCACTTTTATGCTTTTATAGCGTCTTTAAATTGGAAATAAAATTTGACTTTCCCCTTCTAAACTCTCTCACTGTTTGTCAAGTTTTATATTTTGAAATCCTTAGTGATGGAAAAAAATGGGTGGAGTGTATTATTAGTCACAATATTTTCAACATGTGGTGAGGAATTACAGCTTTGAGGTGTTTTTTGGGAGCTGACAGGGAGCAAGCAGAGGAGAATGAGCTACAGGACAGAATTCAGGGGGCTCCCAAATTGCTGAAAAATATCCCGTGGTTTGGTGCGTTCATGGGATAACTGAAATAGAAAACGAATCTTTTGGTTTTGATGCAGCGTGTCCAGGAGGGGGAAACTCACTCACAGTGAAACTTCTCTCGCGGTTGTTTTCATAGGCTGTGTGCTCGCCTGGGTGCAATTGAGTCGATTTCAGGCTGGTACAAAAAACGGGGCATTCTAGTAACTCTCACCTTAGGTGTTTATTTCTGTGTTTTAAATGCTGCTCTGATCTGGGGTGTGTAGGACTGAGCCTTTGAAAACATGACCTGTACTTGGGGTTCTCGGAGGCTGGAGAAAATGGGCCACTTTCTCCCCGTGGTCTTTGTTTTCTGGGACAGTTGTACAACAGTGGATATGTTCTTTGCAAGAGGATTTTTTTCATTTTTTAATATCTGGTAGTGCTTAGAGGAAAACCAGTTTAGCAGCTCCCCCCTCCCCAGCACCCCTCTGTCAAAAGGAAAAATGCCTCATGTTTGGAAGATCTGTTAATTGCCTGCTTTTCCTCTGGTGATGTGCTGTGTTTCTGTGAGGTTCAGCATATTCTTTTTGTCTTTGCTATCCACTTGGGTGGATTTTTTTTTTTTTTTTTTTTTTTTTTTTTTTAGATCTGTGTTTTTGAAGTTTCTAAGCAAAGTTTCCTCTCCTCCCAGCAGCAGCAGCGCAGAGCAGGCTGACACCCAATCCAAACTGCCACTGCCTGCTTTCAGGGCAGAATTATTTCATAAACAGCTCAACCTTTCCCAGGACATTTTTCCCTTCGTGTTGCTGGTTTTACTGGCTGCTCCTGAGCGCTCTGTAACGCTTTCCAGACTCCCCCTGAATGGGTAAAAAGCATTCACAGGGGTTTTCCATGCTCCTATGTGCTTAGTTTAATGGACAAACAGAAGGGCAGGGAGAGAGGGTTTAGTTGAAGTCTTTGAAGAGCTACCTGCAGTTGTAATGGTTATCCCACATGTCTGTTATAATTCCCAGGAGGCAGCAATCTGTGTCCATTCCTGGCTGGGAGCGCTACCCTGGAAAATTCAGACACTTTACACAGAGAGATTAATTCCATTTTTATATTTCGCTCCTGGCTTGCGCTAGGCTGGAACATTTTGAAGTGTGGAGCTCACCTGTGTTTTCTGTGTGTGATATTTGAAACTGGGAGTGTGTTCATAGTGAAAGCGAGCAGGTTGTGTGCACAGAGCAGGGGTCATGTTAGGACCTGGCTGTGAGGCAGAGGCAGGAATTTGGTCTGTAGGAAATCCTGCCATCCTACTGCATCCCCAAAGCATCTCCGTGGGAGTTTTGATGATATTTGGGCAAGCACAATAACAGTCAGGGCTCCAGTGTTAAAATTTGTTGCTTCAAAACTTTACTTTATTCTCTTCCCGAGGACTTTTTGTATATTTGTGTTTGCAGCCCCCTTAAACACATCCTTCAGTTGGGTTTCTCAGTTCCCTCTGGATCTGCACTCCTTTAGGCAGGATGAGAAATAAAAGCCTGTATCACTTCATGTGGGGCTTCTTTCCTTGAGATGCAAGAGGGAAGAATCTCAACTTCCCTAAACAGATCAACAGTTTTCTGGTTTGTGCTGCCTTGGTGTGTTTGGATGCATAAGGGTGTCCATCCCTTTTAGAGGGAAAGCTGAGGATGGGACTCACTTCCCATCCTCCAGCTGTTGATTGAATGTGCTGCTGTGTAACTTCTTGTTACCCATCTCCCCTTCTGTGAAACAGGGGTTTACTCAGCTCTCCCAAACATTTTCATTTATACTGATGAAAAATTGTACTAAAAGTGCTTATTCTTCATCAAGGCAAACCAGTGTGAAGTCCTGGGTGAATTCCCTCTGGGATGTGGTGGAGTCCAGAGGCTGTGGGTGGGGCTTGCTGTCCCTTACCAAGTCAGCTGTGGTGCAGTTATTTTCTGAACAGTTGCTTTAACTTTCTTTCATACCCATGTATTTAAGAAACATCAGGCTGCTGCTGCTGAGATGCTGGTTTGGAATAGTTTCTGAGCACAGGGTGAGATCCTTGACAGCCATTCTAATGAGATGGAAATTTGTTCCCGCTTGGCAGAGTTCAGTTGTGCATAGGTAAGGATGTCCCTGGCACAGGAGGGGAGAGGTGGCTTTGCTGAAATGTGACAGATAGATACTGAATTAGAGCTGAAATTCACCTTTTTGCCTTGATTTTTGGGAATGTGGCTGGCTTTTATTCCAGCCCAGACAGTGATGATCTTGTCCTGTTGCTCACTTGACTCATGTGTGCCCTTGGGAAGAAAAACACCCTGCAAATGTTGGAAGTTGTCCTGTGTTTGCTTTATAGTGACTCTGAGTTGGCATCTCCTGTACTGGAAAGAGGCACCAAGGTGTCAAAAAAATTCTACAAATACATCTGTGAGCTTGTGTGTGGACTAAAATACAATTGTTAAGGAGAATGTCAGTGTGTACCAGGACCTTACCTGCCCAAGAACCATACTTAAGAAATGAGCAAGGTTTTCTATATTAAAGAATATATTTATACCTCTGTATATTGAAATACCTAGTTATCTTTCCTAATTATTGCCTTGCCATGTATTGAACAAAGTGCTTATTCCATCCATGTGAGTTTGCTTCCTGGTATTTCTCACCTCATGGAGAAGGGCTCTGCAGAAAGCTGATATTTCAGGGCTTTGGCTCGCTCTCTTAGAGGAAAGGGTTAAACAAAATTTGCACCTTTTGCACTGATACAGCATCAGAGGAAATGCCTTCCTGACTGGTGCTCAGATCATGCCATGAAACAGAAGAATCAATGGTCTGTATAGGACATTAGGTGCTTAAAATATCCAAACCCAGCTAATTTAAGTGTCAATAAATGAAGTAGTCAGGGCCCAGTTGCTCTTAACAGTCCTGCTACTATAAGGTTGGAGAATGAGGTGGTGGCTAAATATAAAATGAGCTTTTTGACTTACTTCTTGTTACCAATGTCTCCATGTCTCCTTCTTGGCTTCACTCCCCCCCCCCCTTTTTTTTTTTTTTAGTAGTAGTAGTTGATCAAATCTGGATTATGAGATTTGTGCTAAAAAGTGAACCAGCATCCTTACCCAAGGCACAGAGGGCTTGTCCCATGAATTACACAAACAGAATTAGGTTGTTCTCAGAGCCCTTCATGTGTTATCTTTAGTTTTGCATTGGTTGATTCTTTTACTCTTAGATTATTCATGACTCCTTGTGTTTCTTTTCTGTCTTTTAGGTGATCTTTCTCTTGGTTTTTACCCCTGATTTTCTTCTTTTTAAAAATCACCACATGATTCTTCCTCCTTTGGCTCCCTCCTTTTTTTGTGTATTGAGTTTGGGAACTTCGGCAAAGATCCCCTAATTGAAAAGCCAAAAACCAATGAGAAATTTTGGGGGAAACCATTCTTCAGGGCAATTCCCAGTGTGATAAGTTTACAGTTCTCTAATCCTCTTTTTTTTTTAAGGTACTTTTTATGTTGTTTTTTTGACTAATAGATGCACAGGGGCAGAGGTTTTTTGCTGAGATTTCTGTTGTGACTTTTTAAAGTAAAAGCTTAAGATCTTGTAGGAGATCTTAAGGAGATCTAATGGCACTTGGACAGGTAAGTGTCATATGAGCCACAGGCATTTGAATTTTTCAGGTTGTTTTTTAATCTTTGCTGCTAGATTAGCAGATATATATCTGTAGCTAAATTCTTGTATTTTTTTGATGTCACCAGACTTCTCAAGCCTGGTACCCTGTGCCAGTTCTGCCAAGTTCTTGCTGTGTTCTACAGGGTCCATGACATGAGTAGGGTTGGGTCTGTTCTTCTCCTGGTGCAACCAGATGAGAGAGGGAGCAGAGATCCAAAATAGGGGAATGATTTGAGCAACTGTTCCTGTACCAGGATGGGAGACAGGCAGATGGACAGAGTTGGAAGTTCTGGGGAAATGAATAATGGAAATGCAGAGGAAATCCAAGTGCAGTGGAAATATTTCTGCAGGCGAGCAGCTGGAACTGGGTGCACACACCTGTGCCCTGGTGCAAAGGTGCATCCTGTGGGATTAGCAGCTTCTTACCCACTGGAATATTGTATTTCAGGTGCATAGCTTTTACAGAATGGAAGGTAAAGCTTCTGTTAGTTATTTACATATTTACATCTTCGTTTTTGTGTTTGGGTTGTTTGTTTTTTGTTTTTTTTTTTTAAGTTTTTATAATGTTTGCAAGAGAAGCAAAGTGCTTTCCTCAGTACCTTTGTGGGTGCTGCTTGGTGGTTAAAATCTGGGGATCATGCTGGCTTTTGAAGGCTGTGATGCAGTTGAGGTGGATGGGAATAAAATTCAAATCTGTTCCTTTCACACAACATGGACACATGATTTTTCTGTAACCTTAGGCAAATATTTTGGTTTGGAGGGGAATCACTATAACCATGAGGTGAGGTTAATTCCAGCCCCATTTAAAGCGTGTGGCTGGCAGAGGTCACAGAAACATTAACTGAAACTTACATGTCAACTGAAACAACGTTGTTAATTTTTTTTAAATCCTTTTATAAACTGCTGGTTTTTTAGAGTGACATTTTCAAAGCACTTCTGGAAGCATAGTCAGGAGTTGTTAACAGTCTTAATACCGGTATGTAAAACTCCTTCTTTACATTAACACAAGGGCTAAATCATTTTTCCTGCGTGATTAATTATAGGAATATATCAGAATGTTTCTTGTTAAATGGCAAACAGTGTTGTAAACGTGCAGTTATTTTAAACATTGCTTGTAATTACGTGACACTGAAGGGCTTTGTAGTGAGTTAAAATTTGGATTTTAATTTTTGCCTCCTATTCTTTCCATTCCCGAACACAGGACATCTTATGAACCTTCTGGAGCTTCTCAGCAGAGACCATTCTCCTCTCTTCATTGAAACATGCACTGTCCAGCTGTGAAACATTGCAAGGTTTATTTTTGCTGACAGGAAACACTTTCAAGTATCGGTAAGCTCTCAGCATTTCAAAGATATTTTTGTCATGTGGTATAGGAAAGAGAAAGGGGACCTGGAGAGAACATGGTTATGAGAGCTGAAACTTCCTCATAAAACCTGACTTAACAATTATAACAAAGGCTCATTTTGAAATCTTGGTTATCTGCAAAAGTTGGAGAAATACCTGTGGCTGTTCTGCTCCCTCCTTGTGGCAGAGGTGCCTCCATCCATCACGGTCCCTCAGTTCTCATCTCTTTGATCACAAGAGGGAAACAGGTGCAGAGCTCCAAGCAAAGAAGTAAAAGTGCAGGGCTCAGCTTTGCCGTTTTTACCAATCGGTTCTGGCTCTTTGTGTGCTCTGGGACTGGTGTAAGTGAGAGTTTTAACAGTAATGGCCCCATGTCTAAGTAGAAATACATGCACCTTGTTAACTTTGCTAACAAAGTAGTTTCCCATTTGTCTGGCTTGGTCTGGCTCCCTCACTTCACCACTTTATTTTTTCTTAACTGTCCAAATAACAGCACTAAAAGGAGCTGGCCAAAACAATTGCTGTGGAGAAGCAATCAGAAATAGAGAAAGGCAAGACTTGGCAGTCCAGAATAGAAACAGAGAACAAAGTCACTGGTGTTCGCTTCAATTGGGTCATATTTGTTTTCAAGATTTTCAGTTCTGCTGTTTTGCCATAAGACTGCTTGGATTTTCCTAATTACCTTGTTTGTTTATTAGATATTTTATTTCACCTTCTATAATGGCATTAATTTGTGTTGGAAAAGCTTTCTTAACTTTTATCTTCTGATGTTTCCTTTCACAATCTGTTACTACAAAAGGTCAGTCTTGAAGTCACCAGTATTGATTTATAGCTTATTTTCATTAAGAGAGCTAATCTGTGTATTGAAAGGGTTTGAAATGCAGAGATTAAAAAGGACTTTATTATGGCTAACAATATGAAGTTTTGAATAAAGTAGACTCAGAAGTGTTAGATTTTAAGTTAAATGTTGCCAGTGTGATGTATATGCTATTCTTAAAAAAAAATAAAGTCTGTTTTATATAAGAAAAATAGGTGTCTAAGATGATAGTTGTAGTGAATGTATCCTCACAGACAAAAGCCTTGGTGTAGTTGAACTATTCTTACTCCTTGTGCCTTGTAACCATAAATACTCAGGTTTTCTCTGAGAAGCCTGTCTGTAATGTGTCTTACTATACCTAAATAATCTGTATTTTACACAAAACTTTACAAATCTTGAGATTGTTTGGTCTCTTAACCCAGAATGGTGTCAGCCACTAGAAATTGGCAGCTAAACATTTTGAGAGCAAATTCTCCTGAGTGTTCCACTGCAAATTTCTTTCAGGAGCTGTACTGGTAGCTTTTAAAACTCAGTATTTTATAGGTCAGATAAGGTGAGTCTCTTCAAAGAGTCATTAAAGTGAGAATGTTTTGAAAAGCTCCCAAACAGGAAACCCTGTTGTTCAAGGGTCTGATTGAAGTTTTAGTAGCTAAAATTAGACCTTTTTGTTCCCATACCTTTAAGAAGTAACTCTTGTTTACATTATTACAAAGTGGTAGCCAGGCTTTAATTAATTTCAATGTATTGATATGCTTGGAGTTGACTTTTTTGGAATTCAGTAAGTCACAAGTAAAGATGTCGTAAATGTGAGTTTGGAGGGAAAGGACTTTAAAACATTTCACTGTTAGTTTATTGCTAATAATTTGTTCTGGTTTTGTTTTTTGTCATAGTTCTGTCTTTCTCCTACAAGAGTTCACACCAGCGCTGTCAGAAGGTCACAAACAGGGCACTACCTGTGCTGCCCTGGGGCTGTTGATGTCCTCAGCTGTTGTAGGAGAAACACTAGACCTGGAACCCAGTTTGTTACTGGTAAGAAGTAATTGTCTTGGATTTCATTTGTTTATTTATTCAATATTGTAGTTTACATGTGTTTATTAACTAAATCTGCAAAAACTGCTTGTTACTTAGAATATAGCAAAAATGCATATCTGGTATTTTCTTTTTTTCCCCCTAAAATTTTTAACTTTAGTTTCTAAATTTTGAATTCTAATTACCCCCTTCCTGAAATGTGGAGGACAGCAATTTTCACTTACCTATCATTTTCAGTCCTGGTTTTCTCTTGAAATTCTTCATGTGCTGTCAGAGCTAATGAAGGTTAATAAATGGATTTTTCTATGAAATCCTGTGTTTTGATTGCCCTTTTTTGCTGTCCAGCTCCTGCACATTGGCTGACCCATAACTTCAGGTGGATAGTTTGACAAGTGAAAGGCCACAGCCAAGTCTCTGGTTTAAAGTTTTGGAGTAGAGTGAAATGTTTAATAATGACTCCCTGCTATTTTAAGTTGTGCTGCTGGAGTTAGATTTTCCTTGTTCTTGTCTGGACTTTGGAAACAAAGCTTTAATGGATGGTGAAATGCTGGAAGTGTGCAGTGTTCTACTCTGCTGTTTGAACTTTACTCATGGACTTTCTGGATTGTGTCTGCTACAGATTCTAAACAGATGTTGTTTTAATGTTCTCTATGATGGGGCAATGTTGGCTTGAAGTTGGAGAAATTTTAGTGAATCAGACCAATGTTAATAAATTTTTGTAGGGACTTGGAGCTCTTTTTGCCCTGCAATCACAGACAATTCAGTGGGGCTATCAAATTTGGTCATGAAAATGGAATTAGTATTTCTCTTTAAGTTTACTAAAAATCATGTACCTCCCAAATCCCTGCCCTTTCTGTAGTTCTATAGTTTTTCTCAAGGTGAATGGTGAAACTTTTATTTTCATCCTGTGAGTCCCAGCCCATGAGCCCCTGCACTGCTGGGCTGCAGTTAAATGTTCCCATCCCTGCTCATCAGGGAGAGGTGCTGCTCCTTGTTTGCATCAAACCCTGAGCCCTGAGTGACCCCTCTGGCCCAAGGGTCTGCTTTGAGCTATTTACAAACATCTGCCTCTTTCTCCTCCAGTTCAGAGTTGTGGTTGGGATGACCAACTTAAAGCAAGGGATGATTGGTTTCAGGAATCAGAATGGGGTAAAGGAGTCTCTTTTTTGGCGGCTGTTCATTTTTGTAAGCTGTTACTAATATTTATTTTGGACAAAGATGACCATATGAATATAATTTGGTGTTATATAGTATCAAGAAATTGAAACTTTCAGAATTGTGTGCTGCTGTTCCTCAAACACAGGTGTGAGACAACACTGCTGTTGTGGGAATTTGTGCTTGTGAAGCTCCTGAGCACTGCCTTTGCAGAGAGTTACCATCCATGAAGATTCTGAGTCTTCTTTTTCTCTCCTTTACTGTTCTTTTCAGTTCCTAAGGGGTTTTGTTCTCCATTCTTTTCAGCACAGGGCAGATGGGGAGTAGGAATCCTGTGCATTTCTGTTGTCTTTAACTGGATAAGAGTGAAACTTGCATGCACACAGTGTCTTGTTGTGCAAGGAAGCATTTCAAACCCAATCTCACCTTACAGAGCTCCTTTGCAGAGGAATTTTAAAAATGTTGGAATGTCTTGGGAGTGGAAACATGGACAGGACACAGGGGAAGCAGAGAAGTGGGGTGTGTTTGTTGGATTTTTGTGTAATAAAGCATTGGAGTGAATTGGAGTTCTTCCTTAATCTGTTTTTACTTTTCTCTGAAGGGAGAGGGGGGAGGAAACAACACATTTTTGGTTAAATTCCAGTTGGCATGTTTTCTCTAGGGAGCAGAGTGGTGGAGGAGTGCACTAGTGAGCATTTTGGTGCTCTTTACCTTTGGTCCTTGGTTTTAAGTGTAGAAACATGCTGAGAAAGTTGATGTAGATGAAATGCCACGTAGTTTAAATCTACAGTTCACTTACGTTCTCAGAAAAGAAAAAGTAACTAACCAAACAAATCCTAACAGCAATCCCCCCCTGCCCCCCCCAAAATAAAACCAACCAAAAAAACAAACCTCCAGGCCTTTTTCTTCCCCTGTTTTCTTTCTGAGGGAAGGAAGTTTATTTTTGTCCCCACTATTTCCCAGGGGACTGCTCTGTAGAGGATTTTGTGTGCAATTCATTTGTCATCTGTGACTTTTTGTCAAAATGTAAGTAATGTACTGAGATTTAGCTGCAACAAATTTGTGCTCCCTAATTTTAGTGATGTTAAGATTTTGGTTAGGAGACTCATTCGTGGGCTGAGAAATTTGCCAATAAATAAATATTTACTCTTCTTAAAACCTTTCCAATGGGAAGTGAAGTGTGATTTAGAATCCTACTGTGCCATCAGGTGCTATTTTCATGTTTAAATAACTGTACTGGCAGTGCAAAATAAACCACTTTCATAGGTTCACTCTAGCTAGGGTTAAAGATTGTATAAATTATTTATGCTTACTTCAAGACCGGGGTTTTCTGATATGAGAAATAAAAGCAATCCTGTATCTCTACAGAAGTTTGCATGAAAGTGACTCTTAAATCTGCTCACTTTGTGTTCTTGCTGTTAAGTGCCATGGTTTAGTTTGGGACATTTTTTTTTAGTTCTTTTTGGAGGAGTAATAGACTTGAATTACTGCCTGTGAACTGGCTTATGAAGAAAGCCTGATCTGCTACAGTTTTATTTTGTGGAAAATCTTCAACTGAGCTTTTCTAGTTCATTGGCTTCCTGGAAAGTTTTCTTGTGGCCATGTGGCCTAAAGAATTCTGGTGGATGCTCAACTTTTAAAGCCTTCATGTACTAAAAAGACCTGAGATAAACCAAAAAATACATCATTAATCTTTGAGGTCTGTTTCTAAGAAATCTCCAATTTATTCCATCTTCACTGTGCTTCTACAGAAGTTTGAAGGGTACAGCTTTTCTGAAGAAATCTTTCCACAACATTTTTAAGTGGAAATAAATATCCTTACCAGGGAAAGGGAAAAAAAAAAAAGAAAAACCATCAACAAGCCACAAAACAGCATGTGAAATTGGAACACAAGAACAGGGTTTTAAAGCTTCCTGAATTTTTAACTACTAGCAAATTGCCTTAAATTTAACTTGGATTAATTCCCTGGTGATCCTTGACATTAAACGGATGTTCTGGTTTGACATGGGTAGACAGAAAACTAATTAATTCCTCTGAATTTGAGGCATATTTAATTTTCTTCCCTAAAGACCTCTTGTTTAAAAGGTACAATGCTGTGACAGATGTTGGGTGTGAGGGAGCAGACCTTGTGACAGAGGAAGATCAAGACATCTACAGTAATAATTCCTGATTTGGAAACTGTTACATTTTATTGATTACACTGAACACGGGAGTGTCCACCTCACTGCTTGCTTGGAGGAGCTGTCATGTGCCCACCTCAGTGGTCAGAAAGGAGTCTTGCAGAGATTTTTGTGTCCTTATGTTTAGTAAAAATTCCCTGGTATCTTTTCTCTGACCTTATCTTCTATTTCCTAAAGAGATGAGCAAGACATCCATCCATCCATCCATCCATCCATCCATCCAATGTCAATGCCTGAACCTCAAACTGCTCCAGTCTAAACCAAAAGTAGCAAGAGACATATTTGAAATTCTGTATTTCTGCCACAGGCAGCTTAAAAAAGGACAAGATGTATCTGAAGTGGATTGTTATCAGTGGGGGGGAGACCTGACCCAATGAACTAAACTGAATAAATGTATGAGATAGCAAAGAAATAAAATCTCAAGGAATTGATACAATTTCCAGTTGAAGACTATTTCCAGTTGAAGAAGGAAAAATGTGCAATAAATTCACAAGAGCAAGTGGACACATTGACAAATACTGTGATGCTAATCTGTATGAAATTGAGGAAGAGAAAATTATCCTTGCAGGAGATTTCCTGGCCCTCCTCCTCATAGTTCCAGGGAGTTTGTGTTTTGGAATATGGATTTTAATATCCATGAAGGAACAGTGAAAGGAAATGCCATATCCAGAACATTCTGACCCTTTCCTCACTGTGGGCTCTGAGGTTTTCTTCCATCTTCCCCTGAATTGTGTGGATATGGCAGCTGTTGGAGACACGACTGGTGATGGACAGCTCACTTTATCCTATGTGGCAATTCTTATTTCCTGAGGGGACTAAGCTGACTCTTCAGCTCCTAAAAGTAGATGCAGTAGTGGTTTCTGGAATAAAGACAAAACTGAGCTGTCACTCTGCCTTAAGAGGTGGTTCTTTCCAACATGGAGATGTTGGGAAGTGCTGGCAGCCACCTCCAGAGCCTGGCTTAGAGAGATGCTGTCCTGGCTGGTGCCAGCACAACCTTTTGAGGCCAAACACCTGAAAATTAATTTATTTTTTCTTTCCATACTCCCCAACCTTGATTCTTGATTTGATTCTTATAGATTTATTTTGTTTATTTGAGACAGAGATGGTGTCTGGGTGAGGATTTGGTTTGAGGTCTCTGGGCAGATTTCTGTGGTAAATAGGTGTGTGCAGCTGCACTGGTATTGACCTCTTTCAGTTCAATAAAAAAAAAGAAAATATTGGCTTCTCTGTGCATTCTGTGCTTAATTCTGCAGAAAAGCTGCATGGTTTGAAGTGGATGAACACAGTTCAGCCTGCTTGTGTTGCAGGAAGAAGGTCCTTCCTCTCTAGAGGGAAGCAAACATTTCTCAATGATCAGGGACCAGCTGGCCTTGCAAATTAGGATCTTTGGGGCTGCAGAGAGGCAGCTCCATCCTTGCAGAACTGGAGGAGCTTGGAGCAGTCTTGCATAACTTGAACTTTTGAATCATCAGGTGTCTCTCTAGGAGAAGGTCCCACCTCACGGATGTTCTGTGGGCTGGGAGGTTCTTTTCCAGCCCACAGTGACTAAACTGCAGCTATTTTGCTCCTGCCAGTGATAATAATAGCACAGGGTAGGGGAAGGGGGCAGGCTACTTGTGGATCTGTGTTCCACAGCCCAGGAAACACACTTGAATGTGCCAAGGAAACTTCCTGAATCACGGCTGCGCTGCCCACTGCTGCGAGCCAGTGGGAGCAGATGGTGCTGAGTTTGTGTGTGAGCTCTGTGCATGTTGGAAAGGGGCTCCAGGCTGGAAACATCCTCCTTAAAGTCAGTGCTAACCCTGAACCATGTGTGCTTTGAGGCTGTACAACCTCAGAGGTTTTGTTTTTATAAGTAACAACCAGCAGCCCAAACCCAGGCTTCTGATGAGTGTGCCTGCACATAATAACATTTGGAACTGGGTCCAGTTTTACAGTTGTGTGTTGACATGTGGACACTCATATCAGTTCTACAGTTGGGACTTTTTATGTTAGAACAAATTTTAAGCTTCTGAGAAAAAGAAACTTCACCTTGTTGCTCTTAAATAGTTGGACTATTAAACCACTGTTCTGTGGTAGATAAATCTGGATAGTAAGTTCCAAAAAAAAGTGGTATAAGTTAGAGAAAATGGCAGAATTGAATGTCAAAGGATTTGTAAAGCTGTGGAATTAAAGGCAAGCATGGAGTTGCAAAGATTGTAACTGGAAAAAATTCAATCTGAAAATCCTCACACTGCTGATTGCTGTCAACATTTAGGACCTTTTTTCTGTTTAGGGGTGTAAGAGGAAGATAATCTGGAGCATAACTTAGAAGGTACCTTGCTGCTGGCACCAGCTAGCCTTTTATTTTGGATAATACTGCCAAATTTTATGAAAGGTGATCAAATGCCCTGTGAATTTTTCTCAGCTTCATGTTGGTCATAAGGATCCTTTCTTTAGGTGATCATGAGAAGTTCTCTACTCAGTATCTGGGGGTGGCTGCAGGGTAAACTTGGAGATATAAAGCAAGGAAATAACAGATTTAATGCAAAGTATTGCTTGTAAGTAGTTCAGCTTCAAATAACTTTAATTTCATAGTTGTGATCTATTGCCAGTTTAATTTGGGTGGGGACTTAAAACTTTTCTTGGATTTGCTTGTTGCTCTTGTGACTTTTAAACTATTTTTATAGCCCCTCCACGGGAGTATAACAAGGGAAATGCTGGGTTCAATTGGCTCTTGCTGTTTGAGGATTTCAGCTCCTCTGTGTGCTGCACACAATGCTTGTTCCCTCGAGGAAAATGTGTTACAGTGTGCCCCTCAGTAGGCTATGGGCATCTGAGCATGGTTTCAAGTGCAATATCTCTTTCAAAACCAGATTTCCACAAATTCACAGTAAAAACTGACAGCTGTTCTTCTCTGCTTACTTCAGATGGTTTTTTTTACAAGTTTGTAGTAATTTAAAGAAACATTTGCTCTGGGATATTACGAGCCACTGGAGGACTGGCTTCAAATCTAGTCCTTTTTAATGTAAATTATTTGAAGTCTGGCCAAAGTAAGGTGCATTTTGTAATGAATGTGGAGGCATTGCAGGCAGTAGCTGTATTTGTGGCACTCTTCCCAGATGAACCCGTTGCTTCTTTTGGTACAACCCAGGGTTTGTCTCAGCCTTGTCTTGGATTTTGTAATCCTATCATTTCCTTCCCTCTGCAGGACTTGTGGAAGAGGAAACATAAAGATCTCCAAATGAATAACCGAAAGGAAGATATGGAAATTGCTTCCCACTACCGTCACCTGCTGCGGGAGCTGAACGAGCAGAGGCAGCATGGGATCCTCTGCGACGTCTGCATCATCGTGGAGGGCAAGATCTTCAAGGCTCACAAAAACGTCCTCCTGGGCAGCAGCCGCTACTTCAAAACCCTCTACTGCCAGGTCCAGAAAACCTCAGACCAAGCCACAGTCACCCACCTGGACATTGTCACCGCCCAGGGCTTTAAGGCAATCATTGACTTCATGTACTCGGCGCACCTGGCGCTGACCAGCAGGAACGTCATCGAGGTGATGTCGGCCGCCAGCTACCTGCAGATGACAGACATCGTGCAGGCCTGTCACAACTTCATCAAAGCAGCTCTGGACATAAGCATCAAGTCTGATGCCTCGGAGGACCTCGTTGATTATGAGCTGGGAGCCCCTTCCAGCAGCAGCACGGACGCTCTGATCTCAGCAGTGGTGGCTGGCAGGAGTATATCCCCCTGGCTGGCTCGGAGAACCAGCCCAGCAAACTCCTCTGGGGACTCAGCCATTGCCAGCTGCCACGAGGGAGGGAGCAGTTATGGGAAAGAGGATCAAGAACCAAAACCAGACAGCCACGAAGACATTTCATCCCAGTCTCTCTGGGCTAGTGACATGGGCTATGGGTCTTTGCGTATCAAAGAGGAGCAGGTGTCCCCGTCCCACTACGGAGGGGGTGAGCTGCACTCTGCCAAGGATAGTGCAATACAGAGTGGGTTCTCAGAGCAAGGAGGGGGGGATGGCTGGCAGCCCACGGGCCGCAGGAAGAACAGGAAAAACAAAGAAACTGTCAGACATATAACACAGCAAGTGGAGGATGACAGCAGGGCAAATTCTCCTGTGCTGCCCCTTTTACCTGCCTCAGGATGGCCGTACAGCAGTCGAGACCCAAGTAAGTAATTCTTCCAGTTTTTGGGGATGAAAACGTTGAGTTAATTAGATCTGTTTATGGGATGATCTTATCAGCCTCTGAAATAGGAGCTTGCCAGAAATACAAAATGTAGAAACTTGTGTTGCCAACAATTTAGAAGCACCAAGCACTGTGTGGTTCAGTCAGGAGCCTCAATGGAGGTTGGTTCTCCTGTAAAAGTGGTGGTTTTGTTTTGGCTTTGAACGACATGAATCACCCCAAAACCACCACTAAGTGTTGGAATTAATGAGAGAAAAGGTTAAAAGAATTTATTTTAGCAGGTGTGGACATTGATGTCAAGGTTGAAGAATTTTCCTTTCACTGTATATTGATGAGGTAATTACACCACACACGCAGGTGTAATTTAGTCTTACCGATAGCATCTTCAGAATTTCCTGGTATTCAGGTGTCACTTTCTCTTGGGTAAGAAAACCACCATAGCTTCTTGCTGGTAATGGCAGGATAAGTGTTTAGTAACTCTCAAGAACAACATGTTTTTCTGAGGCATCACTATGGCTTCAAGTGTATTTTGATGTGTGACTGCTTGTGGTCTGAGACGAGTGGCTGCGTTTAAAGTGTGTAGCCAGCAAGAAAATTGTTTTCTTGACTTCCTTTGAATCTTCAGTAGTTATTTTTTTTGTCTCAAGATAGCTGGACCATTTGATTCATTAATCTGTGGCAGTAAATAGATTCAGGAATGCTTCTGGACTAGGAGTTTGGTGGGTTTTTCTAAGGACTTACGGGAGTGTGTTAGTAAACTCTCTCAAGCTGACTTCAAGAACTTGGTCTGTGCTGTGAGTTAGCCTGTGTTTCATTGCATACCAAGTCAGCCAGGAGAAGGGTGTGTGAGATTATAGACTTTTATGTTGCCAAATTTGGATTAAAAAAACAATACAAAGAGTACTGAAAGTCTTAAAAGTCTTTATGGGTTGAAAAAGGAGGTTGAAGTTGCTCACATATTGGAGTTTAAATGTGGTTTTCATTGAACAGTAATTCTGCAAATGTCTTGAGATTTATTATGTTTTATGGTTATCTGCTGCAGCAAGATAATTGCATGTAATTATTCTAATTAGCTGATGATAAAATCTAAACAACGTCAGAAGAAAAATACAAGATAATTTAAGACAACAGTGATTTATGAAGAATCTCAATTTTTGCAATGCATGTATTTTATCCTTGTTTTGAGTGAAGACTCAGCATGGATTGCTTGGTCTCTGTTCTCATGCAACTAGTTTTCATTTTCCACGGCATCCCATTAAAACAGCTCCATCACTTGTGCTGTCTGAGGGATGTGGGTTTGGACAGGTACCTGCAGTGAACCAGACATGTTGGAGTGGCTGCAGAAACAGAGCTGTAGCTCTGATCCTCTTGGAAAGCTGGGTGCAGACTGAATATCTTTATGGAAAATAGTGCACAACAGCAGAGGTTGTATTACTGGAAGCTGAATGAAACTTAGATTATTTAATTCCTAATTGTTAAGGAATTAAATTGCAGTGGCTGCTCTCAGATGAGAGGAAGATGGCTGGGGGGGTTGACTCAGCACAGTGCTGAGACAGCATGTCAGCAGGCACATCAAATTATTTGTTCCAAATCCTGCCTTAAGTGCAGTTTCCAATAAAGGAGGTGGTTTCAGTGGTGGGAAAAGGGCAACTGGATGGTGGTGGCTGGGGGAAGAGTTTCAATATTCCAGCAATAGTGCTGGTAAAAGACAAGAAAAAAATGAGTGGCAAGACTTCTTGCTGTCCAAAATGAAAAACGAACAGGTGTGGGGGCTGCCTGTGCTGGCAGTGGCAACTGGCAGAGAGCAGTGTGTCCATGAGGAACAAGGGGGGTGTGGAGACTCAGCTGCTCCTGGGCTCCCCAGCTTGGCCATCTGGAGAGGTGAATGCAGGTGAAATTCTCCTTTCTGCCCTGCTGGACTGGGAGGTTCCTCTGCATTGTGGGGCCTGAAATTGTGGAATGGGTGCACGTGGGCTTAGCAGCAGGGGTTGTCTCTGCAAGCCCTGCCTGTGTTGTAGGTCAGGTTGTGGTGTCTTTGGGGATTTTTTTCAGTATGATTTCAAAGGATTTGAGATCCATACATGTTCAGTTTTGATTAACCTTGGACACCTTGTCCACAGGCAGCCTCTTGTGTGGTAAACCTTGGTTTGGGGAAAATCAAATGGGCACTCAGGTGAGGCTGCTGCTCTTTCACTGTGAAGTAGAAGCAGCCCTGCTACCCCAAAAACATCCCTATCTGGGGCCCTGCAAGCAATAGGGTCTTCTGGTCTTGCATGAGTATTTCCCATATCCAGCAGATGGGAGATTTATTCCAGCAAACTTCATATCCTGAGCTACAGGGTAGTGCTTGAGCTGGATTTTGGTACCCCAGATTCTTCCCTCTCCTGTTAGAATTCAGCTGTGCTATAGGGATGTTGCAGACTTGAATCCTAAGTGTGAAGAATAATTGATTTTTTTTGTGTGCAAATGGGTAATGACAGTGCAGACACTTGTAACAAGTATTTGGGCTGTGCTTAAATTTCAGCTTGAAGTTGTCTTTGATTTAGTCATGTCAGGTTTCATTTTTTAAAACAGACTTCATAGTCTGGGGCTCTCTTTTACCTCATTTATTTAGAAGTATCCCTATCAGCAATGTACACAGCTAAGATGGAAAGCTACTCACTCACTGAGGAAATGGGTGTTGAATGTTCTTTCAGAAGTAACTGGGAGGAAAGAAAGTTACCTAGAACTCTCTGTTCTTTGAGGCTCGTTCACTTTTCTGATCCTATCAGTTATTTTAAGACGCTGCTTGCTAAGGCTGAAAGTTCTTGCTGGGTTCACTGGGGTGGTTTGCAAATGCCTCTCTAGTGCTGGGCTGACACAGACATTGCATTCTGGAAATGCAAAAGCTGATTAAGGAGAATACTTCTTCAAAGCTCAGTCTTCCTCCTAAAATGGTGTCAGGTACTCTTTTGCTCTTGTTGCAGACAGCACTGCATTTCAGCAGCATTTTGGAAGGGGAAACTTACAAGGAACCGTTGCATCACCCTTTAAATTCAGTGATTATTTGGGGCAGGATATTCACAGATGAAAAATTTGTGAATTACTTCCTGCTTTTCTATTATATATAGGATTATTTAATTCCTGTTACATTACAAAGAAGAACATTGCAGTCACTGAAACTTTGGTTTTGAAACAACTCAGCTCATTCACACTCAGCAATGATGCTGCTATCAGTGGGAAAAACATTCTTATCAGTACAGGCAGGTGCAAATCAATGATATCTCAAAAAAAGACACAGATTTTATTTAAATTGAAAGGCTAAGAAAATTCTGTGTGAATCCATTGATTTCCCTTATGCTGGTGGGGTGCTGTTGAGAGTTTTGGAATCTGACAACTTTTGAGATTAAAATAAAAAGGAGTGTCTGGAGTAATCTTATTAATGTTAATCTAACATAATGGAAATAGAAGAGATTGCTAATGTCTGCCATGAAGATTGTCTTTTTCATCCAAGGAAGAATGATCAAATGGGATTTGCAGAAGAATGCAAATGGAAAACTGAGGTGCAGGACTGGGGCTGTGATTCAGCTCTCAGTTTCTCAGGGTGGCGTCAGTCAAGCACAAAGCTTGATGAGCACCATCTTTTCATGCTAGTCTCTATTTATTAATTTGGACTGTCTGTTTAGCATCAAACACATTAGATTTTGTCTTTCTCATCCTGTTTGGGCTGTTCAGGATGTCAGTCTGTCATTCCTTGTAGGAAACATTCATATATATGTTTTCCTCATCAAGACACATTAACTTGAAGCAGCAGTTCTCCAAAGTAAACTGAAGGATGGGCTTTTATAAATAATAACTTTATTCATATTTGAGCCAAGAAGAATTTCCTCCATGGACTTGCGAGAAGAACAGGTCTGCCTTTTATTTTATGCCTTTTTCTTAAATTTTAGAGATTTTCTAATGTTTTTTAGTTTTTGTTAGTTTTCATATCAAAGATTCTTATGAAATTCAGAAGTAGTCTTGTGCCTTCAGCATCTTTATTTGCCTTAGGTTCCTGTTCCTTTAACCTTGCTGGTTAAAAGTTTTTCAGGATTACAATCTTGAGGACTACAGGATCAGATGGTGTTTGGAAAAGAGACTGGGTATCTTCACTGTTAAGCCAGCAAAGTGTTGCTGGTTTTGTCTCTTCATGTAATGGAAAACTGTCACTTGAAGGGTGTCTTCTGAAGAATTTATTGACGACTTTATTAATGTGTTAGTTCAAGCATGGTAGTTATGATTCAGGAATTTATTTCCAAGGAAATACTCCCACACATCTTCTGAGTGTTTGCACCCAAAAGCTGCAAGTGAATTTCTGTGTGCCAATTGACTGTGAAATGAAGCTAATTATTTTAAAAACAGAGCAGCCCTTTCTAAAGGCACCACAGTTTGGGAACTCTTTTCTTTCCTTTAACACATGCATTGGAATTGCTGTGCTCTGTTCAGAAGAGCTTCAGGACTTGAGTGAGCCCAGACTGGTGACCTCCATGGGAAGGACAAGCAGGACTTTGCTGTATCCTCCTGACTTTGCAGAGCTCACAGTTTCTTTAACGTTTTCCCCATCAAAATCTTTAATTATGCACAAGTTTCCTCCCTCCTGGTGAGGAGCTGTTGGAGTTGCTGCTTTTCCAATGCCACACGTGTGGCTGCAGTGCTGCTGCAGGAGCTCTGCTCCCCAGGAAGCCTGGAGACAGCTGCTCTCCTCAACATTCCCCATCCCTTTTTCTGTCCTGGTTTCCAGAGAGCAAATTATGATTACAGGAGCTGTTGGGGAGCACAGATGCTGAACAGTTGGATCACATAGGGAGCTTACATTGCAAAAGGCTTCAGAGGCAGGCAAGGAAGAGCTTGTTCCAGATGAGCTCAATGAAGTTTCTGCAGGTGAGGTCTCTGGACCTGAGTACAGGAAGGTGAATGTGTGGATTGCCTTAGCACAGGATGATTTTATTCTTGAAACAAAATCA